ATGGGTAAAAAAAAAAAAAAAAAAAAGTTGTGGTCAGTTTAATCTATGACAAAAACAATCAGCATTTGAAGTCATGGGATGAATAGCCTGCAACCTCGTCCCCAGTTGTTGCAACCTCAACATATTGAAGTCATTCACTGCCACCGACGGCAATAGACGTCAAAGATCCCTTTGTACTGTACTGGGCTGGCAGTGAATTGAGCTGAGCTCGGTCCAGCTCCCCCGTGACCAAAATGTGAACACGGCTATTGTAAATGTGAAATGTTTCCAAAGCACAGAACGTACAGTAGCACGTAGAATCTTATTGGCTGTCCATGCAATCAGCTGCACAGCGTCGAGATTCCACCTGCCTCTCGCCTGCGACACCCTGCAGTTTATCTGCGCAAGTTGTCTGATTGTGCGATCGTCACGGATGAGGAGCACAGCAGTGAAGCGTCTGCAGCTGTTTAAGCTGCAGACGCTCGTCAACAGTGACTGATAATGAAGATAACAAAGGAGAAGAGGGAGGAGATTGGAAACCTGAGGGTACGTGGTGGGAAAATAAAGGCGCTTCAGCTGCGATATTAAATCCACAAGTGAGGGCTTGCTGCGCGCCGCTGTGATTGCGCCTTGCCTGCTGCTGCTGTTGCTGCTGCGTGATGATTCTGCCAGGCTTATGAGTTGCGGTGAGAAGCTTCTCCTCTGCAGCGGGGAACGTAATGAGATGTTGAGAGGAGATGGAGTGCGTCATCTTACTTCAGGCTGTGGGTGTCTGGATTCATAAGTAGGCGTGGAAGATTGGGGGCGCTACAAGGCGGGTGAGGGAGCGGCGTGGTGCGCTGCCGCCAACCGGCACTCCCGGTGCCGCATACTGAGCGGCTCTCCCGCAGAGCGCCGCAGGCTCCTCCGGGTCATCCAGCCGGTGAAACATTGACGCGCTCGCCGCTCCTTTACCAGCACGTGGATGAGATCGCTTTTTGCTGTAGTGCGAGGGGGATTTTGAGGTGAGCCGCATCGATCCGCCGGATGGAACGCTGCCAGCAAAAAGCATTGGTTGTCCCAGTTACAAAAGCGCCGGCAAACAAACGGCCCCTGGCTTCGAGGCCTGATTGGAATGTAGGAGAGGCGAGCTGAGGCCGCCGACGTCACCTGGCCACATTTTTCCACCCCGACCCACGGGTACTGTCATGATTCGGTTTGGGACCAACAGGTGGCACTGTAGGGCTATCCCTGCAGCTGCACACCTGTTGGTCATTATGTAATTAGTGCTTTAAAAGGACTCCCAGCCCGAACGCTCAGTGTCGGCTCATTGTTGCTCTTTGCTACCGTAATGTTTGTCTGCTGCTGTTTGTCTGCTGCTGTCAAGTTTGTTTCGGTCATGTTTTGGTCACAGTTCTGTTCTAGCTTCAGTTGTGATTTTTGTTTGCTACTTTGGACTATGTTTGTTTTGAATTTAGTTTTCTCTGTTTCAATACACTTCTTCAAGTACACCCTGCTCCTCCCTCCTGGCTGCTTTTTTTGGGGTCCACCACCACCTCGCAAACGTGACAGGTACCACACACCAAGCGATGCGGGTGTCTCCTGGCTCAAAGAGACAGTCGCAGCCTGTGGCCCTCTCATATATTTCATCGGCGTTGGAACTCGTGTCTGTTGTTGGGAATTGATGGATGGGATTTCTATGAATGCGAAAACAGGCTGTGCTCCTCTGCTGCCGCTGCTGCCGTGGAAACAGGCAGGCAGCCAAAAGATAAACCATGAAGCTCTTTGTAGCGCTCCTATCGTCTGTGATTGGTGGGCCTCCAGTCACTTGATTCAAAACAAAACAAGACGTGATTATTTATGATTGTCGTTGAATGTATTTGACATACACAGTTTCAATCCAAAACATGAGGGACACCCTCATATTTGGTTGAGATCCAGTACAAGAGCTGTGCCAATCACTTGTATGAGGACCTTGGTACTGCTGTCTCAAGTCTAGATTAAAGTTGATGATAAAACGACGGAATTCATGAGGTATTCTTTTTAAGTGGGCAAGGCGATGGAAAACTGTTGTTTTTTTTTTTTCTGGATCCAGCGGACAGGAGAACGTTTTCCGTCTCCTTGGCCTGCATTTCCCTGTCTCCAAGTGACGTCATTGTTGCAAAAGCGCAAACCTCACATTTTTAGTCCAATTGCACCATCTCGTGGTTCAAGAGCAGTTTAAAAAAAGAAGAAGAACGCCAGCTCTGCACTCCCCGAGCCCCGAAATAAACGTGTTCGTCGTGTAGACATTTTCCTTTAGCAATGAAAGCTAAAATGAAAATGAAACGTGACGTGACTCTTCCCTGGCCTCAGTTTATTAGGTCTCGAAGTGAGTTGTCGGGGGTCGAGCGGAAGATGCTTAAACAGGATCAGAGGTGACACCCTGTGGGGAAGCCCAGGGGCGTTTCTAGACATCTGAGGCGAGGGGTTGGGGGTGGAATCAAAAGCAAGAACCTTTTTATGTGTATGTTTGTTCTTTTGATTTTTACAACAAGCCAATAGTAGGAGAGGGGGTTCGCAAATCCAAAGATGCTATTGTTGTGTCTAAGTGGGATCCCCCACATGTTGTCATTGCAACGTCTCAAGAAGTGCCAATGTTTTGTTAAGGATATGCGCCAATGTCTCGAAACACAGTGGTGAGCGGTCAGGGCCAGCAAGGCCTTCTCTGCTGCCCTAAACGCTAGGAGAAGCACTGTCCTACATTTGCAACCTGAATTCTAATATTTGTTCCATGGATAACCCTCTAACTATATCAGCAATGGGACTGTTTCTTTTAACCGTCAGACTTCAATTTTGTCGCCTTTCACAGCCAATTTAATTTAAAACTAAAGTCAACAAACACTACTCACCCTTTCAAAAGATCTGACAGACACGTAATTGTGTTGCTCATATTGTGCTGACTCATTTGACGGAGTACTCTCGGGGAGTCCCCCCCGCCAAAAATACAACTGGTTCAAGAAGCAAATTTGAAGCTTCGTTTTCCCATCACTGGTAAAACATGAAAAATCAAACATGTACTCAACCCAAATTTTGATGACCGTGATAAACACGTTGAAAAAAATGCTGTTTGACCACCAAATCATTCTACTTGAAAGGTTTCACTGTGTGAACTACAAAGAATGTTATAGATAATAGATTAATAGATAATGCATACAATTTCCATTATGGAAAAAAAAAGTTTTATTTATTCAAAAAGAGAGTCAGTTGTAACTTGCATCTCTGCAACGTGGATTCTTTTCATACTGCACAGGAGCAGCACTTCATACAATAACTTGCAAAGCGAACTATGTTTTCCTGTTCTGAGTTTCCATTTTTCTTGGACCTTGATGGCTGAGCCGGGTTCTTTTGTGGCTCTATTTCGCCAAGGTTTGCTCTCTCTCCATACAGGTACATCCTCCACTCAATTAGTTGCACTCACGCAAAACGCCTCGCCGACGACAGCTACGAGGCAGACAAGTGGAAGACGCAAAGGATCCTGGGAAGCCAGAGAACTGCTTTGAATGACTCAACATTGGATTATTGTCCACACAAAGGAGTATGTATGAGGGGAGACTAACTTTGTTTGTCAAGGTCAGATTGGTATGATTAGAAATAATTCTGTCTGTCGGGTGCGGTTGGCATCTGTGCACGTCATAATTTATTGATAATGTCAACCCCACTCCCCCCACCTCCAAAACATTAGTTCATCAACGACGTTGCCAAACTATGATCTTTATATACTGAAATGTTTCCGCTCCTCTTATTCTCTCTTTCCCACTCTCCCATCGTTGGAATGATATACTTAGAAACACACACACACACACACACACACACACACACACGCACACATCATTCTATCTATGCTAGAAGATCAAGTGCATGTCAAACAAGCTCATTATCTGAAGGGACAATTGGAGTTGGTGAACATAACAATACAGTACGCACCCAATGGGCATGAATGTGATCAAATAGGCCAACAATTTCGGCATGTGAGCCTGCATTGGAAATGACAAAGGAAACCGCTCACTTGACTCTTTTTGAAAGCAACAAAAGAAGCGTAAAACATCTGCACTTTATCAGTAGAAGACGTTATGTGAAATATACGTTTGTCTGTGAGCAAAGCAAACGGCCGACATCTGTTCAAGCTCGACAGACATGAAGTCATTGTGAACAGATGGCGATGGAGAGCGAGGAAATCAGAAATTTGAGCATTATAGGAAATTCCTCTGGCAGTCTTGGCCGATGGGATATCAGCAGAGTTCAGGAGCAAAAAAAGACAAGCCAGAGCCTGCATATCCTTACGATTAACTTCATCAAAAAAAAAACAAAAAAAAATGTTTGTGCCTAAACTGCCACTTTGGAATTTAATTTCAATCCAACATCTTATTCTAATAAATACATGTACCGGTCGGTATCAAATTCTGACGAGGCTCAAAAAATTCCACAGAAAAGCCTTCAGCTGATTTCTTATCATATACTCTTTGATCGATATTTGAAAGTCAGGAATCCTTTTCCCAAATGGCTTCTTCAGTGAGTCTTTTTTTTTTTCATTGATACTTTCAGACTGTTTTTTATTGGTTTTGAGAAACTTCAGGACAACAAATCCACTTTTACAACATAGAGATTCAATTTACGTACAAAGACGTCTGTGGTCGCGGCTTTGTTGAATCAAATGTCAAATGTGTATAAAAGTGATACGATTTTGAACGGAGTTCCCGACTGGGGCAGCACAGTATGCTAGTGGTGAATGTGACCGTCTCATAGTTCTGAAGTTCTAGGTTCCAGCCTTCCATGGAGTTTTATTGGGGTGTTTTTATATTCACTGTATGCAGCATTTTCACTCATCTTGATCTGTTCAAATGGATTGCCACCGCCATCAGTTCACTTGTGGCTCATACTTTACTGCAGTCAAGTTATACGGCACAGCGGCGCAGCCAGCCTGACAGAAGAGAGAAGGAGTAAATAAATTCTGTAGCTTTAAAAAGGATGGCGCAGCCTTAGGTTCAGACTGGGCTTAAAATTCATACCCCCCTCCAGTACACAAAGGAAAAGGAAAGAAAGTCGGGATCAATTCAATTGGCAGTTTCTTCTTGCTTCCTTTCGCCAACTGGAGGAGTGGAGTCATATGTAAGGTAATAAGACACTGGAATCCTTGTAACCGTGGGGACTGCAATTCCATTCCAGTTAACATAGAGTTATTGTACGGACATCAACAACAACTTTGATATTTACTCAAAGCTTTGACCTTTTCTTGGTGGACTGGGTCATGTTTTTTTTCTCCTTGTGCTCCAGCTCAGCAGTGACTCGGAACAGGATAAGGGCTAGAAAATGGTTGGATGGATTTACTCCCACCTATTGACAAGAGTGCCAGAAAGAGTTTGGTTGGAGCAGCTTGATGATTACTATTTGCACCACCCTAACCTTGGGGTCTCCAAAGCTGGGCCGATTCATTGCATCTTTTGAAAGAAGACCGGCCTGAATTTTTTTTACAGTGTTGGGGTGGGAGAAGAATTTGACCTGTCCTTGACTTTGCGTGTGGGAGTTCCAGTATATCAGAAAATGCCATCTCCACAAGCTGAGAAAAGGATGAAAGTACATTAAGGTGACACAATTATATTTATTCGTCTCTATATAGAGATATGGAGAAATATAGACAGACAGAAAGCTAGCTAGCTAGCTCAGGAGCTAGCGAGCGAGCTAGCTAGATAGTTTCATAACTTGGGGTGCGGCAAAGGGTCACAAAATGTCATTGTTTCGTGATGTATGCAGTCACGCTCGGCATTAATGCAATTTTTATTAATGACCACTGCAAATGTACACGGTTAACTGCATATTTAAAATGCATACAAGCCGTCTGATCAACTTTTAATGTCGCTCAACTTGCCAAGCTGGACGGAATTAGAGTATATTGTAGGTTTGCATTCTTGCATCGTGGGCTTCATGTTTTATTTTCTTCGCTTTGTCGAGAGAGTGGTCAGTTTTTAAGCAAACCAGTGGTCAAAGCAATTAGTCCTTGTGAAATATGTTGAAATCATGCCAGGTGGATTGTCGCATAGCAGTGAGGTACGAATAGAGGAGAGCATAGTGAGAAAAAGCCTTTGTGGAAATAGAACATGACAACACGGACTAATGAGTGCATTCGCTGTGACCTTGTACACTGCTTGTGATGGAAAACATTGTGACTTGCTTGGATTTTAGGATTTGAGGCTAAACTAGAGCAGCTCCAAATTTGTAGACCCCGCAGCTCAAAATGGGCGTTTCCTGATTCCCGTGCCGAGACAAGCCACGATGCGCTCAGATGTTTTGTTTGTCTTATTTGTTTTAGAGGAATAAATACCTTTTGTTTTTTGAGTACATCCTTAGTTATGCTGCAATTGTTTAGCCGTTACTCGACCAAGAGTGTCAGAGTGAGGGAAATGCTTTGATTGCAGCTCTTCAAAAGGTTGAGCAACGAAAAATTACGTTTTGGGGACCGGCGTGTTTTTGTCCAGGAAGTTAGAATTGGTTTTCAAAATAATTCTCCTGGACTGTGGACATAAAGTAATTTCAGCGTTTCCATGGTTTCCACTGTAGGTGAATAGGAAGAGCTAGAAAGAAAAAAAAAGAAGTACATTTACCTAGAAAAGTGTCACCAAAATTGCAAATGTTTTCCCGGCTGGATGCAGTAATTGCAAGCAAAGATTTAGGTCCTCATTATGAAGTTTGATCCACTCTATTTTAAGTGTGTCTGAACCATTTCTTTTGCTCACTTAAAAAGTGATCTTTTATTTCATTCCAAGCGCTTAGGGGAGCGTGTTTCTAAATAAACATCCTCTCATTGGGAAGGTGGTTGAAGTGGATGTGAAAGGATGGAATGAAAGCTTCGGCCTTGGGATGTGAAAAGGTAACGATGAGGGAGGAAAAAAATAACGTGTGTATCAAGAGTTGATGTGTCAGAATGCGTGCTTGCACTTTGTCGGAGTCAGTGCAAGCTCTAAGAGGGTCAAAGACATGAGTGTTGTCATTGGTGTTGCTTGTATTTATTTTTTTTTCTTTTGAAAAGCCACGCTGATGTGAGTGAGTCACAATGATTCTGAATGGCGGGCTGGCTTTATAAACGTCGAGCGGGTCACTTTTCTCTTGAGTCGGTCACGTATACACATGTGGCAAAGTCTTGTCAGTTTGAGCTTGTGAGCTTGAAGGAGGCAGCGGCACTGAGACACGTCGTCATCATGAAGTCTTTCTTTCTGCTGCTCTTCTTCCTGCTGTTGGTGTCACACGGGTCGTCAGCCGTCATCACGGGGGTAAGACGAAACAAACCGCTCCATCAGCGACGCTTGCGCTGCTTCATCAATGACAATCATTCAGGTGTGGGCAAAGGATTTTGCAATCTTGAAGGATGTTCTCATTGCGGGAGGACAAGGAAGAGGCAATCGGGACGAGATTCAAGTGCTTCAACGTATCTCATCAAAATTAAAGTCGTTGCTCAGAGTGACTCTTAAATCGATAAATCACCAACTGCTTAACGAGGTTCTGTTGAAGGTTGTGGCAAAGATATCATTGCTGTCTACTGTCAATATCTGTGATTAGGTCAAATATTTTGTCACTTAACTGAGCAGGTAAAAAAATAAAGCAAATGACAATTAAACGCTTAATGGAGTTGATGTAATTATAATGACCACATATTCAACTACATGAAGGCTCAAATTGTACATTTAAGTGACATCACAGGAATTACCGAAAGGGTTCGCTGAAAAAAAAAAAGAGTGTGCTTAATTTTTTCTCATCGAGTGGTTGCACGCCATCAAATCATCAGGAGTGAGATACATTTTTAAGCAGATGATCCATCTTTAAAAATGGTATTGGGAGCCAGATGATTTTAGTTCATGCAACCACTTGAGAAAATAAAACAGAATACGTGAAACAAAAACTTTTTTCCAGTGTACAGTACCTTATAATGTTGCACGCACATCTCTCCATCTGTGTGTGTGTGTGTGTGTGTGTGTGTGTGTGTGTGTGTGTGTGTGTGTGTGTGTGTGTGTGCGTGCGTGCGTGCGTGTGTGCGCATGAATGTGTGTGCAGGCATGTGAGAAGGACTCCCAGTGTGGAGGAGGAATGTGCTGCGCAGTGAGTCTGTGGATTCGCAGCCTGCGTATGTGTACACTGATGGGAGCCAGAGGAGATGACTGTCACCCCATGAGTCACCATGTGAGACCATCTCAAGATACTTTGCCGTACCAAGCATGAAACACTTTGATACCCACGATTTTGCCAGTGTCATGGTTGAGATTGTGATCGTAAAGTAATAACATGCCATCCAATTTCCTTATTGCGAGGCATTCATTTTAACACGGACTTTCCATATTACAAATCAAGCTAATTTTCCATTCTGTTGCCCAGGTTCCTTTTAACGGGAAGAGACTTCATCACACATGCCCCTGCCTCCCCAACCTGTCGTGCATCACTATAGAGGAGGGACGATCGAAATGTCTCGCAGCATATCAGGGAGATCAAGACTACATCTGAGGAGGGATTTGCTGCTGCCACTGCGAATTGTCGCTGTTTATGTATTCATTGAAATATTTTGATTCATGAGGTATATTTGATGAGCCAACACGGTGGTGCACGTCGACCTTGCTGTTCTGAGGTTCAGGGTTCAAATCTCCACTGTATGGAGTTTGTCCAGTATGTTCTTACTGTTTTTGCCTGAGTTATCTCCAGTTCCTCCAGCTTCCTCCCACATTTCCAAAAACATGCATGTGAGGCTCAATCTAAACTCAAAATCGGGGTTGGGCAACTGGTGGACCAACGTTTTCAAGTGAAATCACTTAAGCCCCCGATTCTGCAATTCCAATAAATGTGAAAAATTCTGAAGGGGTTTGATGTACTTTGATCGTGTCCATCTGAAAACGAGCAAACACATGCAGATGCTATGAGCCATGTCTGCCACCTAGTGGTGAATGGTGCCATTACAACTTAAAACTGTACCGTGGACCCAGCTCATCACGGGAGATAGGGACTAGGTTGGCCCACAAATAGCAAAGGTCTACCTATTTGTCCAGTGAAATCATCTTGGTGGGTGGGCCGGCCCCCCTATGGCCCGCTCGTAGGGCCGGCTTTGCCAATCCCATCGAATAGATGTTGACCATAAAACCATCCCAAATAAAAACAGTCAATAGTTTATTCACCTGCCATTTAGGCCCTAAAATAACAAGTTTTAATTTACGGACTTGTATTTGCCATCCATCCATCCACCCATTTTCAACACCGCTTACCCTCAGCAGGGTCGCGGAGGGTGCTGGAGGCTCTCCCAGGTACGTCGGCGAAAGCCGCACTCCATCCTGAACTGGTCGTCAGTCAGTCACAGGAGAGTCAACATGTTTCCGCAACATAAAACGACAGGATAGTTCACTTTGTTTGTGATTTGCTTGTGCGAAAAGCAAAAGATAGTGCAATACCTCTCGAGTAATGCAACGACGTTTTATGAGTGCCTATTTGTTGCCGCTTGTAAACAAAGTTTGTTCAAAAGAAAAGAAGCCGTCCAAAAAGCGGCTAACCGGAGGTAACTAAAGTAAAAAAATAAATAAATAAAAATACATTACTGACTGGAATTAAAATTAAACTGCCTATCGAATAATACGTCGCTTGTTGGGACTGAATATTTGCACAGTTCATAGACGTCAATGTGACACGCGTGCACTTTCACTTAATACAAGACGGAAGCGCATTTGTCGAAACACTCATGTTCAGCAGACAAAAACATAACAGAGTGGAGTATCTTCGTTTCTTCTTGTGCTCTCTGCAACGGAGCGACACTTACGTCTCGCCAGTGACGCGTGACGTCATTGTCGGTGTGCGGAAAGAGCGTTTGCGGAGCAGCAGGCAAAACCAAAGGGGGTGTTTTTAATCGGGCGATTCCAAACGAGGCGTAAGAGTTTTTTTTTTGTTTTAACCTCATTCGAGCTGCTCTCATGGCGGTTTCTGCGGGCCAGACAGACCTCCAAATGGACAGAGGAGCCCTGAGCGCTCCGTCCGAAAGCAGCATCGATATTGACGAGGAAGAGTTGGATAACATCACAAAGAAACACCGAGCAGGAGGAGAAGACAACTCAACGCTGCCTTTGCACTCGCCTTGGACCTTTTGGTTGGACAGGTAGTGACATGATCGCCGTCTAACGCGTTGTCATTCCCAAGTTTCGGTCGCAGTCGCAGAAAGAGCCCGGCTGAAATATTGTGCAAGGCTAGCAGGCCTCCGGGAGCAAATGTTGCGGGATGTTATTTGAGTTGTGCTCGTCCTATTTTCTCTCAGACGAGACAAGCAGACGCGGTCATGGTCACCGAGGTGCCCCCCCTCCCCCACAAACCCAAAGTACAGTGTCAGAGTTTTGATGGACAAGAGAAGACTTTAACTTGAAGTTTTAAGACTAGTATCTCCCTATGATTACAACTCCAGTCGTAAGCAGTGGCATGTATCAAACTTATTACTACCATTTGGAGTTGCACTTTGCTACTTGTATGGGATCACATGAAAGTTCGTTGCGAGGCCAACTATATTTCAAGCTCTCCGCCTGGAGCCAAAGTGTTAAGTAAGCAAAAGTGAGTGAAAAGGCAAAGCAACCGTTTTCAATTGCAGGTCTCAGTTAGGCATCTGCTGATCGATGTTAGAGTCTGACTTTATGATAACTAAGCAAAAATACCTCGGTATTAAAATTACACCTCTAAACTGACCTTTTTTTTTAATTTGGGAAAGTAAAAACAGTATTTTAGTCATTGCCCACAAGATATTTTATTCTTAAACAAAGAATAGAATATATAGAACAGAAGAAACGTGAATCATGTTTACGTTTGAATGAATAAACCAAGAAATAAATGTTAATCATCTGTTTTACTTCTTAGTGAGTCACACTATCATCCTCCACGCCAAATGAGGTCAGGTGAAACAGTGTATGTAGCAACTGGAACCAATAAAGCAAATGCTATTTTAGTTCATTTACTTTTCCAGGGAAGACGGACGGTGTTCTTGCTTTGATAGGCAGTCCGACAATTCCACTCCATAGATTTTGACAATAGCATTGGTAGACGAGGCAAATGCACTACAAATATGACACTGTGGGAAAAAAAAAAATCTTGAATTTTGCGTTCAATTTTGCTTCATTGTTGAATTCTTTAATCTAGGTCTTTGCCAGGAACAACCGCAGCAGAATGTGAATCCAATCTGAAGAAGATTTACACAGTGGAAAGTGTTCAGGTAAGCATTCGGCTCAGCAACTCTTCTTTTGGCTCCCCTTTTCCAACACAGCCGAGTTTTGGAGGCTGCAAATGCAAACGAGTCAGTTTGAAACGGTGAGCAAGGGCATGCACGTTGCATGTTAAGTCTGAACGTGCCCGAGTATGTCTCCAGCAACTGTAATTATGGAACATGGAACGGTAGAAGCTTTTGTGCGTATAGCGCTTCACCAGCAAAGTGTACGTTGCACTTTTGAAATCTGTTTCTGCTGAAGAACAGAAAAATAAACAGAGTGGAAACGCTTTGCCCCAAAAAAGACAGACATGTTCTTCGTTTCACACGTACACAATATTCTCATCTTAAAAAAAAAAAAGTTTCCAAAAGTTGCTTTCTTTTGTTGTCTGCAGCTCTTCTGGAGCGTGTACAATAACATCCCGCCGGTCACAGCACTTCCTTTGAGATGTAGCTATCACCTGATGCGGGGAGAACGGAGGCCACTCTGGTACGTCTCCTCAACTGTCTTTTGTATTTTTTCTTGACTCCAAATTTAGCTTCAATACACACATGGCGACGGGAGCAGCCATGACTGGTAAGACTGCATGACCAGGAGTTCCACAAAACAATCTGTTGTCCCAAAAGTCTCTGGACGCTTTATTAGGTACACCTGCACTCCACATCTGATAAGATCCGGTGAAAGTGCCTTTTGATGTTTGTTTTTTTTCTTCCCCCCCGCCAAGCATACACATTTAGCATTGAAAGCCACTGGTAAAATATTTGTGCTTCTTGTGAATCACACTGCATCCTTGAGGATTTTGTTGATGTTGTTCACCCCATGCGGTAACACACATTAACATTGTTGTTTTTTTTTTTTACCAACAACAGGGAAGAGGAAAGCAATGCAAAAGGAGGCGTCTGGAAGATGAAAGTCCCGAAAGAAAGCACCGTACGTGTTGCTGCTTTGTCATCCGAACACCGTACGCTACACTCTAGGTCACACTGAGGCAGAATACGGCATAAGTAGACGTGACAACATTTGCCAGCAGGCCAGCCAATCGAAACGTGCGCCGCCCCTTAAGCCGAGTTCCTGTATGGACCCGAAGCAACTCCAGTTTCCATGCTTGCATCTCAATTTTAAAATTGAGAAATACGGACACTTCTTCTCCATGATTATTGTTGTAAGAAGAGCACATGTCCATGGTTTACAAAGATCATTAACACACAGCGCACCATCTCAGATACTGTCAGCGCCGTATTTCTGTCTTGCGTTGTCAGATAGATTTTTTTCTTTCTCTTTTTACATCTTTAACATAACTTTCAATCCTGTTTAGTAATCATCCTTTCTCCTCACTTAAGGAGATTTCTTCATCTTATCTAAAATACTTGTTTTTGTCTTGACATATTCTGCTTCGGAATCTTGGGAGAAATGTTTTTTTGTGCTATTCTTGGGTCACCTGAATGTCCGAGAAACTGCTTTTGCCCACAGTGGAGTCACTTATTATCTCTGGTATAATATTTGGTATCGTCATTTGATTTTCTCAGAAAATCTGACTTTATCTCAACTGTACTGTCGTGGAATACAAGTTAGGCTGCCGCTATAGTTACCGTATGTACCGTACTGTTGTCTTCTGTATTTGATTAGTCAGATCAGTGGTTTTGTGACCGAAACTCAAATATGGATGACATCCAAAGGAATCAGCTCAAGTTCTCACTTTGGAGATGCTGCCAAGGAAAAAATGTTCTCATGTACTTTTTTTGACGTCATAATGCCGTTGTTGATTCTTATTTGTTTACTGCTACATTGACTGACTTGTCTCCCCCCCCACCCCCTCAACTCTAGATGACGAGGTTGTTGGCGTCAGTGTAAGTGTCAGAGATCGGGAGGATGTCGTACAAGTTTGGAATAAAGATGCCTCTTTGGCTAATGAAGCAAGTGTCTTGGGAAAAATCAATGAGCTTCTCCCGCAAATAGCTTTTAAAGCAGTTTTTTATAAATGTAAGTATGCCATGTGTTTTTGGTGTACACACACACACACACACACACACACACACACACACACACAAAGCCATAGCGGCGCTTCAGAAACCCATATGCAAACAGAAAATCCAACAGACTCACACGCATATATTCTCTCCACCAGAACATGTGTGTGTTTTTCGTGTGTGTTGCTTATACATTGGTGCGCTAAGTAGACTGCGTTTGACAGTAGCTGATTCATTTTCCATTTTACAGCTCACATGGAACATCACGCCTTTGAAGGAGGACGTTCAAGACATTAGAGCGTGCACTTTTTTTTTTATCTGAACTGTACCTGCCTTGACTAAATGACACTGTCCACAAGAGAATCAAGGGTATTATCAATATATTTTTGTAACTATTGAATGACTGATGCCTTGTTTTATTTCAACCGTTGAAAGAATGTCCATGAACATTCATCAGCAGTGACTGATTTATTGTGGTTTTGTCATATCACTGTCCCACAGCTCATCCAGTCTCCTTGTGTAACGTTAGCTGCTGTGTTATCGTCTACGTTCAACAGATGTTTGCTTGAATCCCCTCATGCAATGTTTTAGTATAACAAGATCATTAGCATACCAAAGCAGTTTAGGAAGTTCATCAGAAATGACAAAAATGTTTGTCAAATTTCAAGTTGCGGAATGAATGTCCCAATGAGTTGTGTCTTCATCAGTTGTATGTGAATTGTAAAATGAGGGAAACACTTTCATGAGAATCAGTCCACGCACTTATAAAGCCATATGCAGCAGTCAAATAGATAATTCCACATTAAAATGTCTCTTTGAATGTTCTAACCGCAGCCCATTTGACAATTCTTTTAATGCTAATTGGGAAAAGTCGAACTCCACCCTCACAAATGGAGTCACGGGTCATTTGATATTTGAAAGTGGACAGAAATTGCACATTTCCTTGGCATTGATTTGTACTTGTTTCCAGTATCAATAAATCTTACAACTTGTTTAGCTGTGTGGTGTTTCAAGTGAGATTTAATGTCCTGAACTCTTTTGAGTTTTTAGCCATGCCGAAATTCCAATTCCTCCCGAAAAACATCCCCACGGTGGTGCTTTCCTCCACTGACGCGTCTCTGAGCATTCTTGCTCATTCCTGCTCTCTCATGCAGCATTCGAAGAAGTTGGGAAATTGGGAGTATCCTACTCGGATTGTCCCCGTTCCGACCTCAAAGCGCGTTCCAGGTGAAAGTCAACAAAGATAAATTCGTTGTTGTTCTCGTCCATCACAACACACCATGCCATCCAACAATCATTCCTCCATATTTTCCTTTGTTTATATAAATATTGATGTGATCGAAATCGGCTTTGACCGTCCATAATCAAAGGGTGGCGCTGTCTACTAAGAAAAAGGATGCGAGGCTTCTCCAGCTGCGGCTTCAGCAGGTTTCTCAACTGCAGCCATGGAAAAAAAGAGGTGTACAGTATTGTAATGTCTTTCATAATGAGTAGGGCTGTGCTTCTCAGACCTTGATCAAGGACAAAAAAAAAAAAAAGACTTCGAGTAGTTTCTCGTGAAATCAAATCAATGTTGCTTTACAATTAGTGTTAACTGGACTGTTAAACTGGCCGAGTAATTTCCTTCTGAGGCAAGCAAAAATACACTTTAATCACTGTATCAGTCATGCCCAAGGCGAAATATGGTTAGCAGTAAGCAAATTTTTTCAACCAAATATTTGCAACAACCGGCCTTTCTTGATTATTTAAACGTGAAGCAAATGATGGTCAGAAACCAATGAAAATACTGGATGCGTCATCCGACCCATTTAGTCAGAAGTCTGATGGGGTTCATCTTTACAAAATAATATTAGATTCAAAGTCTTCCCAACACATTTGTTTATTATTTCAAAGTCTATTGTGAAAGGCTTGAGAAACAAACCAGTTGCGGCATTTCTGAAAACCTATGTAGTTCATTACCTCTCCGTTGTAATTAGTTGACGTTGTAGTTTTTATCCCCCCCCCCCCAACACACACACACAGACACACACGTCATGAGCTGCTGTTTTTATCCGAATAGTATTTATGCTAGTGACCGCTGCAATGCACTGAACCTTGTTTACCAAGCAGGTGGATGTGACGTCACGGACCTGGGAGATCAAAACAACAACATCCAAATCGGCGCTTCTCCTCGCTTTTCTTCCTCATTTCTTTGCGTTTTCATACCTTTGTAACAACGCCCAAGGAAGGCGCACGGGTCTTTTTCAACGACGTCCCCCTGGACGACAAACTATTTGCTTTTACCCCCCCACACCCCTCTCCCGACATACGCGAAGTTGGGTGTCAAGTTAGTTCATGCCCCCGCCACCGTTACCAAAAAGCCTGGCGGAGTAATCTTGTTGGTGTTTACGGTGTGATCTGTGTCGCACGCGGTTTCTGTACACAAGATGGCGCGCAGCCGACAAGTTGTGTTCATCCGCGTACGCCTCGCTGCTCAAAAGCGACTCGCATCATGGTAAGTTTCACTTCCATCTCATAACGTTCACGTTCGGCTTTGTTGTGTCCTATTAAGATGCCCGGTGCTTCGGGCGCGCACAAGTGTGTGCACACGGGGATAGCCTTTGTGTGCATGGCGGTCGCTTACAAGTTTGCTGCTCGGCGACGCGGACTAATAACGTACTACCACTTGCACACGCGCGCACGTACACGCACACGCCGGAAGGGTTCATCGTATACCGGAGCATAAATACCAACCGGCAAGATATGAGAGTCGGTGTGGTGTGGAGTCAGTCAAGAGTACTTTGTAACTTGACCAACGTCGTGCTCTTGCTGTGTTGTGAAAGTTCTGGCAAACTTCCCAAGCAGAGGGAAACGCACCGACCCACAACGTTATATGTAAACCGCGTTCAGTCATTGACGACGCTCCAATTGGACGCGGAACCGCCCTCTTCGGATAAAGTTGACACCTTTTTATCTTGTGGAACAGTCGGTTTGCACTGATTTCTTCGGAGGAAGAACAAAGTAGCAGCAGCAGGCTTGTCCACGTGTTTATCGTCTCTCAAACTCGGGACACAACAACTGGCAACCGTTTCGAATGTTTTGGGGTTTAGTCAGCATCTTTGATTTGGCTCCCTTCCGAGGTAGCCAACGGATATTCATCACAGTTTAAAACCGTAACTGTATACATCTCGAAATTTTTTTTTCAGTCCGTGAAAAAATGTTAAATAGGCTTAACATAAGTATTTGTTGCTTGTGTTTAGTCTGAACCACTTTTGTGACCACCAACCACTGAACCAGTTGTGTTTTATTCCGAAATGCAGTTGCAGACAACTTTCTAAGAACATATGACAGTTCTATCCCATTTCTCGATTAATTCGTAATTGCTCGATGTTTTATGAATTGCCTTGTTGCCTCAAAATGGTTTCAAGCCATCAAGTTTACGACGCGTGCATTATTTACTTTCAAATGTCTTTTGCAAGTGCATTACAAACTGACACTAGTCTTTTTCTTTTCGGTGATTTTAGTTGTTCAGCTCTGTCTATGTCAATTTTTTGAACGGAGTCATCAATTTGACAAATTTTGAATCTGTACAAGAGAATGAAACATGACTCCAGTATTGCATTTTGGGGGGAAAATTTACACTTTGGGTCTTGAAGTCAATTCAAAGTGTGCCCAAGAGAAACTGTCGCTTTAAGATGGTTTGCTTGTCGAGCTCCCTCCTCCTTCGGTTTTGGATTAGTCATTGTCTGAGAGGGGGGGGGGGGCACTTTTTGGTAGAAGAAGGAAAGTAAATACACGCCAACAAGCGAACCTTGACAACCCAGATTAAGGAAAACATCAGAGATCAAATAGTGCTGCTGCTGGGCTGTTGTCATGGGCCGCCTGAGGGAGGGCGGGAGGGAGCGAGGGAGGGGCTGTACACTATTTGAACAGCCACTGAGGTCAGTGTGCTTGCTCACTTATGCAGAAATGGACCTTCACAAATTCGGACCCAACTTTGAAAATACAGGACCTGCAGCTTTTTTGCCCGTTGTCTTTGACGAGGCTATCCGGCATTCAGCCCCCTGCCGCCGCTGATGGCATTCTCATTTACATGGTTTCCCGCCCGCTTCTGCAAGCCACTGGGCCTCATTTACTCATAAACGCGGCAGAATGTTTGGACTCTCTGCTCAAGTTGAGCATTCGGGTTCTATTTAGAGGTTCGGGTTTTCTTCACACCTCTCGCGACAAGAACGCGTTTGACACCCCTGCTCTCCGCGGAAGCTCCACTGTGTCAGAGTAATAAACTTCCTCACTGATCAAGT